TTATGGAAATTTTCGACTCGCGTCGACTATCTCTCTCTCTCTCGCTCTCACTTGTTGGCAAGGGCCAAAAGCGCCTTTCTCTGAATATGTAACATCCGCCCTTTAATGACATGCGGACGCGCACCAAAAGAGAGCTGCTCTGCACAGGCTCGCGCGAATTGAATATCCGTTACGTCTTTTGCGCGGCCCGCGTTAAAACTCAACTTTAAACGCGTATCCAGGCAGGTTGGCTGTGCTGCAAGTGCAACGCGCGCGAATCAGCAGCAGGTCTAAATTAGACGGGGGAAAGACCATGCACTTTCGGGGGTCTCCGATACAGGGTCACGCGCATAATTTTATAAAAGCGAGTTTTCAGACGCGGCACGAGATTCGTATCGTTAATTTTATTTTTAAATGTAAATATTGAAATTAAATTCATACGAGTCAATGAAAAGTGACACGCTTAACGAGGCCGCGTGTTCGTCTTCCACTCGGATGCACTGTTTGAAAAAACCTTGAATTGTAATGCAGATTTAACGTGAAATTGGACATTGAATTTAAATAACCGATATTGAATTTTATTTAGGATACTCTTATATGAAATCTTTAATAAAAAGTAATGTATAGGTACTGATCAATTTTTTTACATAAACTGCACAAATTTCACAAAAATTCGATTCTATAAATAATTTTTAATAAAAAAATTAACTAAATAAATTTAATTTCATCCTCAAATTTATACATTTCGAATGAGAATTAATGTTTCTGCGTCGATGCTTGAAAATTAGTAATTCATACAGATCTCACCACTAGATGGCGCGTATCTTTATATCTGTAAATCTGCAAGTGAAAAAGTCGGTACTTAGTATAATTAAGTATGAACTTGATGACTACATAAAATAAATCATGTTCGCGCGAAGCTATCATTCAGCTTCACCACACGATCGCGTCAAAACTGCGTAAGTACGATTCGAAAAGATATTCTGAATTTTTTTCTTTTCGCTGACGCACCTCGAGCACGTGTGCAGTCGCTCGCTACGTAGCTACTCTCCAACACACACACACACGCACATACACATTTATCGAAATCCATTACATAATAGCGAGATCTTTGGTTTTCCAAGTAGGCGAGCGAGCGAACGAGCGAGTGCGCAAGAAGAGCTTGCGATATATCTATACGCGCGGCAGCCTAAGATTCGAAGAAGCGAAAAACTTTTTCCGTTTAGCTCCGAGGGGAGGAGGGTTATACTTCGGAGAGAAAACGTTACGGTGCGGCGCGCGGTAAACGGACGCAGCGGGGGTGCGCTATGTGTGCGTGCGTGCGAAGCGATAAGAAATTCCCGTTGGATATCTGCTGCTGCTGCTACTCTCGTTCTCGCTGCGCTACAGAGCAGAGCTCGAGCATCGTACGGTTTCTCTCGGCGCAGTGGTGTAGCAGTAGCAGCGTCGAGCGTCTGTCTTATCTAAACGGGCTGCAACCACTTAGCGATGTCGGCAAGTGTGAAACGTGCGCTATTGGTAACTACTGCTGCTGCTGCTGCTGCCTGACTCTCGCGTCTGTGTATACTGTATATACCTATGGATACAGGGGGCAAAAGCAGCGATCCCTTTCGAAAAGCGAAATTTACACCTACATATATACGTATACCTATACCTACCCGTACCGTACTCCGTGAACAGGAAGTGTATAGCTCGACTGCGAATGGTACTACGCGTCGCGCGCGCGCGCGCCCGAATCGATAGCTGCACCACCACCATGTATACGTGTATGTATATCGGTGACCCCATTTCCGTTCATTTCTCAAGTGGCTACATGGGAAACTGCAAGAGTTTGCGTCGGTCTATGTGTGTCTATGTGCATAATACACTTGCTCGGCTCCTATTTATGCTTGCCTCGCTTATCTCAATGCGAGAGTACACGCACCGTAGGACGACACACGGCACAACTATCGCCTGTGTATACCGTCAAAGTTCGACTGCTGTTGCTGCCCCTTATATTCCGTTCTATGGCACACGTATTCGTGTATATAACGCCACGACTCCCGTTTTCGTCCGTTATAGCTTCACTTTGTGCTGCTTCTTGACGTACCCAGCCGTACGGTACATCCTTGTGGTGTCAGCGAATGCATAAAGTGGTGACCCCTGTATAATATACATCGTCGTATGTAATCGCTGTATGTGATCGTTGATCGTGCAAAAAAATTTATGAAAATTCAATAATTGATTCCGGCCTATACCACTAGATGGCGAGAACGCATTGATTTGTAAATCTGCAAGTGGCAACGTTAACATAATTATACAAGGCACGATTTTGATGAACTATTATATTATCTTCCATCTTTTCGATTTTATATAATATATGATTCTTTATATGGGGATACTGTTTCTCAATTTTTTAAGTCGATTTATGACAATGATTCTTGAACATTTTTGCTGACTATAATTGCTAGTAATTTACGTCTTCACCACTAGATGGCCGAGTAGATTCATCTGTAAATCTGCAAGTGGCAAAGTGAAAATAATTGTTACAAGGCACGATTTTGATGAACTATTAAATTATCTTCGATCTATCTTTAACAGAGTACTTTTTTTTATCAAAATCAGAAATTTCTCAAAAAAAATCTAAAATATCAAACGAGCGTTATCGAGTAAGGTAAAAGATACATTTTTCTTGAATATCATCATTAGTAATTTACGCCTTTACCACTAGATGGCCGAGTAGATTCATCAGTAAATCTGCAAGTGGCCAAGTGAAAATGATTGTATAAGTCAAGGCATGATTTTGATGAACTGACAATCTAAGATGTAACAGTTTACCCTCGGGAAGCAAGTATTAAATTGTCCGGCGAGATGTCCGTTGTCCTATAAACGGGGAACGAAGAAAAAGTGTGCCAAAAATAATCTACGCGATCATGTAATGTATAATCAATAATTAGGCCTATTTATTAAAAAGGGAGCCAGTCACGATAGTGACGCCTAATAATATAAAATACAAGAAAGCAAAGAATTACAAATGATATGCGATAATTGTTCGCTCGGCACGAAGCATTCTCCCGTACAATTATAACAACGGCATAAGGCCACCGCGGCTATTTCGGTAGATACGACGGTCGTGAGTTTGGGCTAGGCGGGGACGAGACCGAGAGAGATCAAGCGTGTTGGGAATACAATAATATGGCGCATATGCAGGAGAGAATCGAGAGACTTACATTCGTTGACTACACGGTTATTGGTGGTTGATTGGGCCTGACGAAGACTGCAAAAATAGCGAGGGCAGACGAGAAGGCAGCCAGATGTTGATGCTCTCCAGGATGGCAGACTCTCTCTCGGGCGGAAGGGATTCTAGAATACAATGTAAAAGGAACGAGTACCGTCGGACCCTGTGCTGGACTACTTCCTTACAAAGATTATCTTTTTGTTCATAAAAATATTTTTCGTAACTTGCGTAAACAACAGTCTCATGCTCCAAGGTGTTTTCGCACGATGCCAAGCCGATAATTTCCCATAGGCTTCTGCTTCTTCTCCTCCTGGCCGATTCTCTCCTCCTTCGTATATGTGTATTATACACACAGATCTCCGTGCGGCATAACGCGATAGGCGCGAGGAGTCAGTTGTGCAGAAATATAATATGCGCGAATAATAAGAGGGAGAGAGAGTGAGAGAGAAGCCAAAGTACCGACGAGATAAGAGCGCCCACGCGCGCCGTCATCTCGTGTATATGTGTATAGCTGCGTATATGCCCGCAGCAGCGGCACCACCAGTGCTTTGGCCTCACGTGTATATATAAGAAATGCGTTGCACTTTATGTATGCTACGTATACACGTGTACCGACACATTAGCAAAAAGGCCCCAGAAAGAGAGAGAGAGGCTATAATATTTTCGACGTATATATAATACTTACGCCTCGAGCAGAGCGCGCGCGACCATTATCGGCCGCTACTTTTTTTCCCGCGCAAGCTCGCTCGTTTTCTATGTTATCGCGTTGGGTATTCAAGCGCAGGAGCTATGTTTTTTCTCTCTCGCTCTCTTTTCTGGTCTCGCGCCATGCGTGCATACACTCCCGCGGCTAATGGCTATTACGAGCTTTGATATCTTTTTTCTTTCTTCTTTTTCTTTTTTTTTTGGTGACACATAATCTTTTACAAGATTATCGCGTGCGGTGTGTGTAATATTAACGTCGTTAGGCATCGTCAAAGCTTAATCTTCAAAGGATGCTCATTTTTCCCGAAAAATGCCCTCTTGTAATAATGTCGCTAGCTCTCTTTGATGACGGGGGCGGAAAAAAAGACCGCTGCGACGTGCGTTGGAAAAAAAATTTCATATACGAACGGTAAACATTCGGTACTGTCAATCGATTTGAAACGTACGAATTGCAATGTTTGACCTTGCCTGAAATGGTCAAACAATACCACAACAAAGCCATCGTACAAATATCGATCGCTGCCGTATGTACCTATACGCAATACGCACACAGTGGGACATGTGCGTTATATGTTTATGCGTATACATGTGTACTGCATAAATCAACAATCGATAATCCGAGAAATGCAATGGTCATAATCAAAAGATTACGCATACATACAGATGCAACGTATACACGCGCGCATTACTCGACGTACAACATGCGCCATATACGCCATGGACAAACTGCGCGACGCACAGAGCGCAAATATCTGACATTCATCTCGTCAATCGAGTTCGGTTTGCTCTTCCGGCTAGCTTGTAAAGAGAGAGAGGGAGGAGGTAGAGAGCTTCGGTACAAACTTGGAACGGTCAACAAAGTACCTACGATGAAGCGTATACATGGAAGCTATGACCAGAACTGACTGTGGCTGGGCGGTCACTCGTTATGTCATATAGTCTTAAGCCAGGCTCTATATACGTCATGCAATAATAATAATAACGATACAAACTGCATAAGAGTATGTTGATATTTAAATACATATGTATGCCTGCAGTGTAATTTACATCCGCATATCTAAACATTGTATGTATAACCGTACGGTATTATATTTGACAGGTTTCGGTGGACGGGCGCCTGGACAAGGGACCAATTTGTCCGCCGCTTCCGATGCAGTATCAGCCGGGCACTTATTCGACGTCGACGATGACCCAGCCGCAGCTTCACAAAACTGCTGCTTCGGACTACGTTGCCGTCAACGCTACCGGTACGTTCACACACACACAGCTCACGCACACATATAAAGTCGACACACAACGAGCCACATGCATGCGTAATATATACACGTACTCGTGTGTGCCAGCAGAGCTGCTATATATTTGTTATATATACGCTCGCGAGCGAGAGAACGAAACATCATAGCCAAACGCCAAGAGCAAACATGTACGGCAGACTGCTGCTGCTGTACAATGCCGGATATACAGCCCTCCAGAGGCTGGGGGTTGGGTCAAACTTTGGTCAATTCCACGTATGCGTGTGTGTGCACCTATATACATATAGGCAAAAAGTCCAGGAGGCCAGTTGTCGAGCAGGGTCGAAACTCTTTCGACACTGCATAATGAGAGTCAGGGCTATATAATATTAGGTGCGCGCGAGACTGTATATATATTTGTTTATGGATATTTCGAGCGCGTCTGTAGTATAGACTCTTTCGGAGAGCGACTCTGGATATATAATGCGCAGGAAAAATGACGCGGCTACGAGTCCCTTGTTTTTCTGAGAATTATAAACCATAAGATAGAACTATAAACCGAGCTCTTCTTAAATATCAATCGGTTTGCCTCGCGCGAGTTTATAGTGCGCCATCTAGATGTAAACGACAGGACTATTATTCGGATAACGAACGAGCGCGGGAGAAAAGCGCAAGATGCGAGAAGGAAAGTCCTGAGTTCTTAGAATAAATAAAAAAACTTTCTCTGTGAGGGATCGAAATCCTCGTAGATAGATATTTAATTTTGTTTTTTTTTTACTTTTTTTTACTTTACTTATCGATCGGTTTCATTTTTGCTACACGCGGGTTTTCAATGAGACATCTGGTGGAATCTCATGAAACGTCTATGAGAATTAAATAAAGTTTCACGAAAATTGTCAAAAATCTCTCAAAAACGTTTCAAAGACAACGAAAATTTAAAAAAAACATAAGCAAAGTTAGCTTTTTAACAAACTTTTAAACGTTGACGAAATCAAGAAAAACCTCAGCGTGGAAAACTTTTCAGTAAAATCATTTCTGAAATATAGTATATTTCACGGCGCGCGCGGGATACGCCGCACGTAACATTACGTATCTGCAGTGCACACACACTCACACATATTCATCCGTGCAGAGCTGCGCAGATATATACGCGCGTATATTATTATGCGCGATGAGTATATAGGACTGCAGCAGTAGCAATCGTTGGGTGCACGGCGCGTACCAGACACACATACACACACGCGCGCGCTCGACTTGGTATACGTGCCATATATATAGAGTCGCAGCAGATACGCCAACGTGCGATAATCCTCCCATCAGTGTGTGTACTCGTGCCACGATAAACACGACCTGCAGCGCAGCTACAGCGTGACTGTACACATGCCTTTCTGTACATATATGCTGCTGCTACTGCTATATACAAACGCTGCGATGCACTTGCAATCCTGAGATGCAATCATTTCGAGATTCTCCCGGCGAGGCAACGAGCTTGTTTGATATTGACTCGGGGATAGAGCTGCGCGAGTTTTTTTTCCCTTCCTTTTCTTTTGCTCTTTATTCTTTTTTGCTCCTTTTATTATCGTTGTTGTTGTCGTCGTCGTCGTTTGTTGACGTACTGCTGGTCGAACAAGATACACCCCGTTTATGAATTGATTGCAGCGCTTGCTCGAACACACACACACACACACACATACACATATAGTGTGTATACGAAGTCATAGCAAATGGATCTGTGCTGCATGCTATGTATAGCGTTAAACGAAAAGCCAATGGTGCATTCGAAACGGGAAGGGGGCTTTATTTTTGTTTGTTTTTTTTTCTTTGTAACGCCAGTATTTTTTTTATTTACGTTCTACAGTAAGCTACGCTCTACGCGCCGTAACTAGGTTCAGTCAACAATTTACAAAGAATGAAAATACGAGCCGGATGACTTTTGGGTGGTGCGCTGAGGGCGAGATCGATTCTTCGGGGAAGAATAAAATATTTGTTGCGATAATCAATTTTATCCTTGATGATATATTTTTTTACAAAAACAGTAAAAAAAACCAAAAATGTATAAGAACTCAATCATAATTAAAAACTAGCCTCCGCCTCTAGATGGCGAGTAGCTTTATCTCTAAATCTGCAAGTGGCAAAGTGCTATAATCCACATAAGTGCAAGCACGTTATCTGATTTCATCGATTTTCTATAGTGGATATTGGAATTTTAATTTAGTTGAAATTTTATTGAACTCAATTTTATAAATTCGTCTTACATTCGAAGTGTACAAAATTTAAAAAACTACAAACTAATCTAAATGAAAAGAATGACATTTGAAATATTTTTATATTAAATTAAATTTGGTATGATTCATAGTGTTTTCAAGTTTAATTCAAATGACTTTCAAGGCGTGTACATGAATTTAAATTACGAGATGGAAAAATAATTTTTCCCACTCTAACCTAAAATACGCAACTTTGCCGCTAATTTTAGGCTCTCGTAGGAAAAAATAGTATCTTCACATGGTGCAGATATGGTTTTTTAACAAAACTCTATGTGCACCCGTTGAGAAATATACTATTCTCCACTTTTTCATTAATTTGAACGTGAATATTTTTAACACCGTAATTTTGTTGACCATTCGCTCAATTGATATTAAAAATTAGCAAGAACCCATACTTACTATTTTTCAATTTGTTAAGCTACGAATAATTAAACTAGATATACGAAAAAAAAAACAACTTAAAGCGGTCCCTGCACTATCCCCTTGGTCAAAATCATTAACAGTTTAGTATCGAGCTACGTGATCTCGTTGAATATGTAAAAACTTAATTCTCTCCCTGTCTGCAAAAAAAAGAAGGGGCCACCGCACACGGTTACAGTATCACTCGATCGCAATAAGTCTTACGCAAAGAATCATCGGTACGTGCGCTATACAAGCTCTCCATACGTACACTGTATATACTACATATACAAGGCAAGGGTGAGCGCGTCGCGCACAAACCATCTGAAATATTTACTCCCGCGCGCCCATATAACACTCTATCTCTCTCTCTCTCTCTCTCTCTCTCTCTCTTTCGCGAGCGGCTGTGCAGTGCGCAGCTCTATATAATACGAAGCTCTCTCTCTCTCGAAAAGAAATACAGTGTGCAAGTGCGCGCGCGGGGGGAGGCCGAAGGTAAATATATATCCTCCGTGCGCGTATCCTATATATATACGCTGTAATGGCACAACTGCATTTCCAGAATATAGGAAAGCTCGAGAAACACAAGGGCGTACACATGCACACGCGCACAGACACACACACACATGCGCATAGTTTCTCTTGGTATATAGAGAAACTCGTAACGAGCAAGTTTACCGTCTGCTAGCCCGGTCGTCCGGAATTGAGCTCGTGCACGTGCCCCCGGTATACAGTAAGGTAGTAGTTGTAGTAGTAGTAGTAGTAGTAGTAGTAGAAGAGGAAAGAGCAGGGAGGGACTCAGTCTTTGTCGAAGGCAAATCTAAGCCGAGCGAATAGTCGTCGAGTCCTCGTCGTCGTCGCGAGAGAGTCCGAACTATTTTGTCGGGGTCACACCTCATAGACAGAGAAGAAGAAGAAGAAGAGAGACTGGACTATATGTATATATTCCATGGAAGCTGCGGAAGTTTACATATCCCTGGCCGGAGAGAGAGAGAGAGAGAGCGAGAGAAATTTTCACCCGAGGAATAGCTAACGAGCGAGATCGATCGATTGGATTGTCTACCCACTGCTATCTACGACTAGATACTAAGGCACGCCGGCGGCGAGCTACGGCTCATCTTCTCTCTCTCTCTCTCTCTCTCTCACTCGGGGGTGGTTTGTCGAGAGCCAGGGCGACTTTGTTATACTGACTTTGCATATAGTTTCGACCCTATAAAGTATTAAGCGATAGTCGTAGAATCGTTACTTTAATCGAACTTTTACTCCTGTGTGCTTGTGTGTGATGTGAACGGCTAGAAACTTGGCCTCGATTGTCATTTGTATTTCTATCGATAACAATCGCACTTTACACTATACCAAAAAAGAAAGAAAAAAAGTAGTACGCAGCTCATCGAAACTTTATCGTCGTAGTCAGTAAGTTTAATTTAATATGAAAAAAAAAAAAAGGAGAAAAGGAAAAAAAAATAAAGAAAGAGAGAGAGAAGCTAGATCCCGAAGCTTTAAAAAATGCTACGCCGAGGCCGCCTCTAAATCTCTTTTTCCCTTCTTCTTGCCGCCGTCGCGCAGGTGTTCCGGAGGAGCATCCAACTATGCCACTTCTGCTTAATACGACGATCAATCTCGGCCGGCCGATTCCGCCGGTACAGGACTACCCGTCTAATGCGCCGCCCATACCACCGCCGCCTGAAAAGTATTACGCCAGCTCGGATATCTGCAAGGTAAGGGCCTGCCTGCCTGCCTGCCTGCTATAGCGGCAAAAAAATATTTATCAAGTTTTATATATACGCGCGAGCGAGCGTATAGTGCGAGTAATGAGAAAATCCTGTGTACTGTACGCTCGCGCGATTAGATTTTTTTTCTGTTTTTTTTTTTTGGGTTAATCAAGCACCTCGTGCGTTGGATCATTTATTCAGACGAGATACGAAAAAAAAACGTGATAAATAACATTATTGTGTAAAAATTTCAATGACTTTTCGGTATCATCCTCTGGAATAAGAAAATCTCAATGTGCAACGTATCGTAGTACGTGCGAAGCTATAAAATACGTGGATATCCTTTTTATATACGATATATAATAATACAACGTTACACTTTTCTCTGCCGCCGCCGCTGCTATACAGAGCCCAGCGCTGCCACCTCTGCCGAGCTCGCCCAACCCGCCGAGCTATACGCCGCCACCGCCGCACAGCAGAAAAGCCTCGAGCAGCTTGAACAGCTACAGCCCCGAGGACATGCTAACCGAGGACGAGGACGAGAACGAGCAGCAGCAGCAGCATCTCGTCGTAGCGGCAGCCACTGCGAGCAGCAAGCAGGCCACCGCCGCCGCTGCCGCCGCCGCTGTAGCGAGCGACTGTATCGTTTTCGATTTTCCCCGTGAAAAGCTGAATATCGTCGAGAGCTTGGGCGCGGGATTCTTCGGCGACGTGCACGTCTGCAGCGCAGATAAGTTCCCGGGCTACGACCAAGTTTTTCACAATACCTGCAGCGATCTCGTTGTCGTTAAGTCGCTCAAGCCCGGATCCGCCGAGGCCCTGAGGTAAGACCCGTAAGAGATACGATGATGACTTTTTTTCTCTTTCATTGCTTTTTATTTATTGAAATATATAATTTTCTATCGAGACAAAGAGTCCGTGTATTCCGTGAAAAATTTTTCGACAAACTGTTTCTTACAGTTTGACGCGTGTATTTTTCTCAATAACGAAGGTAAATTTTTCGCATCCCCCCCTCTCCCCTTCAGCTTCCAACAATAAACAGCAGGCTATATATAATGTACCGATTAATTATCCGATAACGAACACCGCCTCTCTTTGTGGCGCTTATATATACATACACTCGTGCTTTTAAGCATCGAGGTAAAACTTTTCCGCGTCACCTGCTTCGCTGCCGCTGCCACCACCGCCACCACCGCCGCTGCAGTTGAGTTTCCGAGTGTTATTTACACTCCACGCTCATCGAACTAAACGTCGCCTGTCGCGCGGAGCTAGAACACGTAGAACTCCCTTCTCCCCCCCCTCCCCATTCCCCTGTGCAGTTTTGTCTCGTGCGCGGGGTATAAGAAGAAAGTTTTCTCTCTGTTCCACCCTTTCCTTCGTCTCTTTTCTCTCGCTCGCTCGTGCTGTGCTAGCTCGCCCCACGATCGCGCGCAGGGAATTCACTTTGTGAAAACGACCGAGGCCCGCGTTGTGTATGTCATATATATCGAAGCGACTGCGTACTTTTGATCGCTGTAAACCGACAACTGCTTTTCACTCTCGAAGCGCGCGCGATTCCCGCGGTTACACCTCTCTTTCTCTCTCTCTCTCAACTGGCTTTTCTGTGTATATTATTTGCCGGTATTTGCCAAAGCTGTTTATAAGCTTGGCTCCGATATTTCGATCGTGCCAAGATATATTTAACCGCACGAATGAAAAGCTCAAAAAATGAAAAAAAAAATGTTATATTTTTATTTCCCGCGATATATATTTGGACTTTGCTGCATATTATAAACGTATTTTGCAGGCTGGAGTTCAGGCACGAAGCCAAGAGGCTCGCCCGGCTGAACGACCGGAACGTGGCGCGCTTGCTCGGTGCCAGCCTCGACGACGACCCCATGTGCATCGTGCTGGAAAACACCGAGCACGGCGATCTGAATCAGTACCTGCAGAGCCACGTGGCCGAAACTACCACCCTGCAGACGGCCAAAACTTTAAGGTTCGTCGCTCGATATCATATTATACATAGAGTTACTTCATGGAAACAATATCTGCGATGGAGTTATAAACTTTATTCGCTCGTCGAATGACATTTTAATAAAAAAGAAAAATTTATATGATTGTTTATCAAGTTGGACGAGTTTTTTTTTATACGCAGGTGTCGACGCGATTGATATCGAGGAAGAACGACGCGTCGGTGCTGAAATAAAATGAAATTTCTTTTTTAGCGCAGCGACTCGCGCTGATGGAGATCGTGACAATCAAACAACTTGACCCACGTGACTTTTGTCGATGCTCGAATGGCCCGTTTTTTTGTTTTCTTTTTTTTTTATATTGGATCAATGTTTGCTCAAACGATACACATCCCGGGCGATCACTTTCGCTGTCGAGAGCGTATGCGCGCGTCGGACTAAATATTGACCATTACTACTGAAAATGTGCACATAATCATAATAACTCTCTTTCTCTCTGCGCTATACTCGCGCGCCGCTTCCAGAAATGAAGTGAAAATATTTTCGCTGCTTCCGGCGCGGCTGTATTTGGACAAAATATCTGTATTTCGGTCACGCAATGTTGGTGACGTAGCGCGTGTGTGCGTTTGAATGATTTATACCCGTTTGATTTCGTTCGGTTTGCGCGAGAAATTTTTTTCTCCTTTTTTTTTGTACCCCCTCGATCATTGATCATCCTCTGCGTCGAAACAATCGACATATTTCAACAGTCAATTGGTAATGAACTTTCGGAAAATTGTTTTTTCTCTCTCTCTCTTTCTGCTGCTTTTTCGGTGAAAATTTGATGAAATATAAATCAAAAAGAGGATATTTTATTTTCGTCATTCCGCACATGCGTGTAATTGGAGAGAGCGAGGGAGAATTAGTCTTTACTCCAAAACGAGCATTAATAACTGGTGATCGATATGCATTTCGAACTCGTAATTAAATAAACCGAATTAAACGCGATGAATGTATAAGTTGAATATCGAATTACTCCGCTTACGAATAATCTTTTAAAAAATCCTTTCACCGATATTTATTCAGATATTTATTCACCGCAGTACTTGAAAGATTTCCCCATTGTAAAAACTCGCATGCGCGAAGCAAAAATAAGAATCACCTCTCGCCGAGTAAGAAGGTAGGCAAGCAGCAGAAAAGAATCGATTCGTTCGCCGTATTACGTATGCCAACGTATACAGCCTGGCATGCATATATGCGCGCACCCATAAACGAAGCGAATGAAGCGTAATTTGCGAGCCAACAAGGCGTAATAACGCGCGCGCGCGCCTGCACCACACAACGTGTGTATACAAGTATATCTCGACATAATGCGCGCAGCAGCCAAGCAGAGCAGAAAAATTTTCCTCCTCCGTTATAGCTGCATATAATACGCGCGGCGAATAAGCTCGATACTAATCATCCTTGCCTATATATCTCGGTAAACTATATACTCTTCGAGTCACTCGGCGTTATGCGTTGTACGCATACCCGCGGAGGATGTATCTCATTGTAATACATAAAGATTTTAGCCTCAATATATACTGGCACGAGCGTACGGTACATGTGACAATTTCCGCCCTTCGGTGCACGTATATGTATAAATCCGAGATTATGGTATACGCGCCGCGCGCATCGACTTTACATATATACACATACGCGCCTTGTATTATTGACTACCACTGACACGTGGCTTGAATTTTTCCGCGCGCCCAGATATGCGAGGAGTTTTGCGTTCGCCATGCCGCGGCATTGACAGTTGTCGTCACCGCTGAAACGCGTACCCGCGCGGACGGCAGTAATGCGACCGAGAAAATGAACTTGCACAGCCGCGAGGGGAGATACTACTGAACTTTAATAAAAAAATTCCATTCGCCTCGAGTATTCTCTCTCTCTTTCTCTTCATGCATATCGAAACGTAAAATATTGTAATACGTTATTGTTTTTGATTACTGTATAAATACACACGACGAATACCCCCAAAGGCATCTCGTGCACGTGAAAATTTAAACAAGCTCTTATTGGATAATCTCGTGTGCTTCGTACGAGTCCGGTGAATATTTTTCCGAGCTAGTGCCGTACACGCGGTGACAAAACGTGTATACGTATACGGCCGATCCTCCCTGTTGCCGCTGCTTACCTGTGAATATGCACCGATGGCATTAATTTTCAATTTTAATCTGCTCGCATAGGAGACGCTCTCATATACATACTCCCACACACACACAGCCGAACGATCACGATCTGGTTTCTGTTTCAGCTTCGGCACTCTAATATACATGGCCACGCAAATAGCCTCGGGCATGAAGTACCTGGAGGAAATGGACTTTGTGCATCGGGATCTGGCGACGAGGTAAGAAAATTCCGACCGACTCACCGAATCATTGAGAGGCTCTAGCTAGTAGCTCCGTAGAATAGAGAGAGAGATCCGCTAAAAGCGCTTACGCGCTTACGTTTTGCATACGTATACAAAGTCGTATATACAGTCCACACGTGGTGTGTGTGTTCTTAGCACCTGAGTATATAGCGGTGCAAGCTCAATTTAATCCTTCCGGAGGGGTGGGTTGGTGGAGGCGTTGTATTATATATGCATTGGCCTGAAATTTATGTGACACTAAAAATGCCGTCACAGCTACTTTCGCTTCCTGCACTACTTTAATATATACACACACACGTACACGATGAAGTCATCGTTGCAGTAGTAGTCGTCGTGTGTGTGTATATATCTACAGGTGTACGTGTGTCTCAACCGCAGCACTTCAGGCTTCTCCTCTCGCTCTCTCTATATATACCCTCGGCATGGATATAACAACCATACGTGCCGGTGCGTTTCCTCGGGTAAGAGCGAGAGAGAGAGAGAGTCAATAGCGTCCCAGCGGTGCGCGTCGTTAAACGGAGGCACGTGTACCAATTATTAACTCTAATCATAAACCTTAATTATAATGCCCTCTGGGTGTGCGTGGGTATGTGCGTTCGTGGGAGCTCGAGCCAATGCATATATAACTGTCATCCGTGTATGCCGCCGCCGCCGCCTTGGAAAATTCATTAAAGCCGCTTATTTATATAGGAAACACACACGTACACGGATACGAGCGAAATTTCATGCGAGAGAAATAAAGTATGAATATTGCATCGGGCGCGCGTTTCGGGTGTTTATTGTTGTAAGCCGCGCGTCCGGTGATTTCGCGACGTCGTCGTCGTTGTTGTATTATAAATTGCGCGTACTTCATTAATCGACGCGCATCGCTCGACTCGTCAGATTACACGCGCGCGGATTATACGCGGCTTGATAGCGCTTTAAATTGCAATTTTCAACCGCGCATTTCGTCGTTTACTGCACCCCGTTGTGCACTTCTATTTCGCATACCTTTATGGTTATTGTTTTCTTTAGATTTGCAGATTGAACTATTGGTATATAAATCGATTTTTCCGATGAACCAACGTGTCGGTAACTCGAGAACAAACGAGTTCGAACTTTTTTTCTCTCTCTCTCGAAAAGATGAAACAAACTCTGTATATCGACTGCTTCGACGATTCTCGAACTATATTTACCGTACCTACTCCTCGCGTTCGATCCTCTCGTCTTCTTCTTCTTGTTCTTCTACTTCTTCCATTTTTTTTCTCTCTCTCAACCTTTCTTCGCGATTCGACCGATTAAAAGTTTTGACTAATTGACCAGGAAATGGAAGAGCCTGTTATATAACTTTCATAGCAGCCGAGGAAATTCGCGCCAATTAGCTTCACATAGAGAGATGATGGAACGGGCGCGATGGAGAGGGGGGCAAGTAAGCCGCTCTCGTACACACGCGCCACATATATATACACGATAATGAACCGCTTTTGAGGAATTTGATTTTTTCAGCATGTAGCGATCAATCGAGATCTGTAATTTCGTATAAAGAGATTATAGTTCATCGTCCAGTCTGATAATACAATGTTTCTCACTCGTCGAAAATACGATGTGTTTCAGGAACTGCTTGGTGAGTTCGGGATATCTCGTGAAGATATCGGACCTGGGCTCTGGACGAAGCGCCTACTCCGCCGACTACTTCAAGCTCGAGGATGGGCCACCGCTGCCGATCCGATGGATGGCCTGGGAATCGATGCTTCTGGTACGTAGGGAGAATCGCTAATTCGCGCGGGATTTAATGAGAGCCGTAAAAAGACGTGGCCCCTTGATTTTCATTGCGAGAAAGCAATAAACGAGTTATAATAGCTAACGAAACGATCCGCACTAGATCACAAAGAGAAATTTCGGCGAGCCGCCGAGAATCAAAAGCCCTCTTTTGGAATTAGCATTAGAGGGCAAAAGTCAAACGCGCGTGCGTAAAGTCTGGTAACGACGAGGCGAAACATATTGGAGGTGAGAACTCGACTGCGAGAAAAAAAGAGAGAGGGAGAGAGACCAGCGAAATTACGTTTGCGCAATTTTCGACGCGTTTATGTATGTACGCGAGTCTGCAGCCCGAGAAGCAAAAAAGTTGCCGGTCGTAGTTTGGGTAAAAAGAGGAGCTCTGCTGCTGCTGCCTCGCGTGTACACACACCGACGACTGACTTGCAACTTTTTCTCTCTTTCTCTGAGAGCCGGAGCGAACGGCTACACAAAAGTTTCTTCTCACCCCTTATTGGTCATTAACATAATTTATTTACAAGCGCGCATTAGGAAATTCGCGTTGGAAGAAGCTTTTTTATTACGGAGAACGTATTCGTGCTCTTTGAATTTGTTTTGTTCAACGTCAAAAATTCTCATCATGCTGCTTTATTTTTCAAGACTTTGATTTTTCCATTCTCGCGGCAGTGATGAGATAATGAGAAAATTTATCTCGTAGTTCTATTACAGTATCAATTACATCAATTACATTGCATAAAGTAAAAAAGAAAACTTGATAATATTCATTACCTGTTTTATTAATCTCATTTTGATGGATGGAAAAATTATAATAATCTCGTAGAGTTCGCTGAAATTTATTACGATGGAATTTTTTCAATATTAACAAGATAAATCAATAAGTGCAACGTATGCTGAATCTGAATGATAGATAAAAATTGTATTATAACAGACTTTTAATCGATGCTGGCGAATCAGTTATATATAACATCGAAAAAACAATATCGAATTCTTAACCCATTTAACTTTATCGCGAGGTATTCGAGATGATAAAATTCGTTTGAAATCTTTTGTAATTTGTGCAAGAGTAATTTCAGCAACAACAATGTACTGTGCTCAAGAGATATAGAAGTTAGAACTAACTTCTTTAGAAGAAGTTTACTGCATTTATAGCGTACAAAATTGTTTTTGCTACTTGCGAGTTTGCAATACTCCATCTGTTGGTAACTTCGAAAAGTTCATAATCATCTTCTTACCATGAATCTTGTTTACATAATGCGAAACGATTACTAAACGTGCACATTGTCAACAAACAGTCGACTGTAAGTGCGTATAACACTGTGAGCGCGACATACGTTTTACTTATTACAATAGAGGCTTGCGGATTTTCGTCACGATCACAGCACCCCGATGACTCCTGGCTCTGAAGGGTCGATGTTCCAATACAATCATCGTTTTTCACGGGTTCCCATAAAAAATTTCACACAAAAAAAAATGAAAACCAAATTCCAAGGAGAAGCTAAAAAGGTTCGTGCACTCGGTGCGGCGAACAAAGAGTTCGACCCCCCTCCTGCGCGCGTGTACAACGATAAAATTTTGTATTTCTACATTTATGCTTTGCAGGACGTACCAGTTATTTTCGGATTTTTATACATCGCTCCCCCGAAAAACTTTACCGGAAAAGCAGCTCTCTCGTACGGATTAAATCTTTACAATAATTTTATAGTAAGCTGCGCGCTTTTAGCCGCCTCGCTCGCGCAAAAACGATAAGAGCCATATTATACGGCGGTAGTTTTAGCTAGTTTAGACTTTTAGCGACCAGAAGAATAGGTTTCCAAGAGAGCAAGACCGTACGTTTCTCTCTGCCGTGCGGCCACGATGAAAAATAAAAAAAAAAAGTAGGTAAAAGCGCGCGAGACTTTCAGCAAACACGAATGCGCGCTCTCGGCCGTGTGCTGCGCGTTATATACCTTTGGTATCCGCACCTTTGGCCTTCCAGTACGGCTCGGCCAGCGCCCGCGTATAATAATATCTAGCACATGCGCACGTATCTCTCTCCTCCCGCGCGCGCGCACCGGAAAAAGTGAAAAAGTGCATATTGCAAGCGAGCGCGTAGTAGTAGCAGTGCCGAGAAAGCGGCAGAGCTGATTTATGGAAAACTACCTACCTACCCCCACAGCCTTTTAATACTCGCGCGCGCGTGGGCCTCGCAGCAGCAGCAGCAGCAGCAGCAGAGCACGAGAATAAGCCAGAGTTCTCTCGCTCTCTCTTCCGTATGTAGCCAACTTGGAGAATCGAATTCGCCGCGTCGGAATGTACGTTCCCCGACACTTTATGTATTTGCAACTATTATGCTGCGTACGTTACGAGCTGTAGGTGTACGCCGGTATGGGGAGGGCGAGTTTCAGAGAGAGAGAGAGAGAGAGGATACGTCATCGCGCATATATTAAGTCGGGCCGACGCGCTAGCTAGGGTATGCTGTGCAGCAAAGAGATGAGCGTGTCTCGAAAGTTGGACGCTGCGGCGCGCGAACTATTGGCTTTTTACTTCTTCTTCTTCTGCTCTTCTTCTTCTTCTACCTTTTTTTTTGAAACGAGATTTCCGATCTCGGAGCCCCAGATGCATGCAGAGATTTCCAAATCTCGCTCTCGCAACTTTTATTGCTCGAGCGAGATTTCTTCTTTCCTTCTTTCTTTCTTTCGATCTTTTTTTTTCTCTCTCCTGTCGGCTGAATGGAATTAGCCAACGGGAACCGCCAACGCGTATGTATCATTTTTTAGAAATATATAATACCGTGGCTCTCGAGCTAGCTGCTAAAAATAATACCACGTTGCCGTAATTTTCGAAAAAAAGCCGCGCGCACTAGCAGGTAGTAGCCTCTGAAAAATTATATGAAAAATTGCATTGACCCGCGGCGTTATTGCATTCGCGAGAGCAAGCGTATATATGAACAATTTTTCATTTCTCGTAATTGCAGGGCAACTACACCTCCAAGAGCGATGTGTGGGCTTTCGCCGTGACGTTTTGGGAAATTTTGACGTTCGCGCGGGAGCAGCCGTTCGAGGAGCTGCCCGACCATCGGATCGTCGAGAACGCCACGTACTTCTATCAGGAGGACGAGAAGAGAGTGAGTACACGGAGAGAAATACTATACTGAATATCAACACATTCGCTGGCAAATGTTGCTATGTTCTCTAGGAAAAGAGTTCCAGAGTCGATATATATTAATTTTTGTTATGTAACATAGTAATTTTGGGTGCGGTATGTAGTATTTTTTAGATTGGTAAAATTATTTTAAAATAATAATTTTCTGGCTTCCCGAGATGATTTTTCGATTTTTTGAGAGCCCACAGTGTTCAATCTGACACTGTTTTCTGCTATCATGGAATTATTTCATTCGTCGATTTTTACAAACAAACATTTGCTTGCCTCTAAGAAAACTAACCTACCTAACAGTTGTGTATTTGTATTAGCGCAGCTCATATTCTAATCTACACATAAACCATCAATTATCGAGCTTAAAATATCTGTTCGAAATTTTTCTAATATATATACCAATCGAACAGTTTTTATGCCACTTGCAGGAATTGACCATACACCATCTGTTGATGAAATCGAGAAGCTTTGATTATGGTAAAAATTGTTAAATTACAAAATAATTTTTGAAATATTCATCCACAAATTTTCCCATAATCTATAATAAAATTTGCTACAAACCAATTCTTACTATGTTAATATAGCAATTTTTAGAATATCTCATAAATATTTTTGTATGACAAAGTTACAAAAATAACTCGATATTATAGTAATATTTAGCATGTACATAGTAAAAAATGCCCATAATTCGATTCTGAGGCACTTCTACTAGCGAATATAGTAATTTTTGCTTGCGAGTTTGTTGATATTTAAAGTAGTATTTCTCTCCGTGTAATATTTTATTTCATTATTACTTTTTATAATTGAAATTCAACAACAACGAATATTCGATCTCGGTGTGATCCTCGACCTGCAAACCGTATTCGTTTTTCACAGTTCATTCTGCCGCTACCGAAGAACTGCCCCAAGGAGATGTACGACCTGATGCGCGAGTGCTGGAAACGCAACGAGTCGGCGCGCCCGAACTTCCGCGAGATTCATCTGTTCCTTCAGCGCAAGAATCTCGGCTATCAACCCGTTAAACATCAGCAGCAGCAACAATTGCAGCAGAAGCGCAACAGCGGCAGCGACACTTGATACAAAGAACTCGAGGGCTGGGACCTCATCCGGCTTTCCATGATGGGCGAGCTCAATGGCAATTGGTGGACGTCGCCCGACGCCACCGCCGCACCGGATGAATAAGACGCAAAAAAAAGTGAGGGCAATGAGAAAATGCAGAGGCTATGTATTTGATCGCCGTTGACGCGGTGATGGCAGGTTTGTTTCCGCGGGCTACGACGCATACACGATCGTAGCTAATAATTATATGTACATGATGACGCGCGGGTAACATTTAATTATAAACGACTATACGACACATATATTGGAAAGTTAAATAATAAGGAGGTGTGTGTACATTGAGAAAGACGAATATATAGAAGCTATGATGAACGTACTGAATATAAACGTGCGATTTTCTCTCGAGACTATATCACACAATCGTCATGAGACTGAGCAAAGTAAAAAAAGAAAAAAAAAGGTCACGAAAAATGTCGAAACTCGGGGGGTAGAGCTCAAAAGCTGAAAATGACTCTTCGGTTTATATCGAGAGCATTCATTTCGATAATTAATTCGCCGCGGCGGCAGTACAAAAGCCCGCAACGCACGACTGTGCTATACTATTCCCAAGTCGCTCGATCGAGTGCGTGCGCGCAATTTATCGCGCTAAATAGTCGGCGCGAAATATAAACACAAACAAACGCACACGCAGTACACGAGACTGTGTGTATATCAAACGAGAGTACGAGTGCGCGAGTTTAAAATCGTTTCGCAGATAAAAAATGTATACGCGTTCGCGCGCGCGGGGGCGAAATAACGCACAAATCGTCGATGGCACACGGAACAGCAGCAGCAGGCACGTTGTAAATCCCACGCGCAGTAGGCGTACTTATAGCCAACGCACAGACACAAACACAAACGAGTATACGTATATACATTCGTTTCTTTTTTTTTTTTTCGTGCGTTTGCTCTCGCCTCATATACATACTTCGTAAATCCATGGAAACAATGGCAATTCATTAGTCGGGCGAGAAAGAGAGCAAAAACAGAGAGAGAGAGAGAGCAAGTTTGCACGCGATTGATTTGGGAATAGCGTATGTGCACGGGGGAAGAGGGTAGTGCGTTGTGAGAAACGCACCTATCACGCGCGCTGCGTAGTAGGAAAAGGGATTACAACGAGTATTGCTCTCGCTCGATTTTTCTCTCTCTCTCTCTGTTTCTCTTTTTTGCCGTCATACGTGTGTGCTTTTGTTTCATTGATGCTGCGTTGCAACGGGAAAAGTTGACGGTGTACATGCAAGGCTAACAACGATAACAAAAACAACATTAAAAAAAAAAAAAAAAAAAGATAGAAGAGTCGAGTCGGTGCTGACTGGCTAATGGAATTCGTTTGTTCTAACATTTATATAATATCTGTGTAACAAAATAGCTGAAACAACAGCTCGATTGGCCCTGGAGTATTTCAATTTTTTTTTTTTTTTATATTTTTTGAAAAATATGCCAACTTAGGTACACCTCCGTGTTTCACCTCTAGCATGATTTTATTAGTTTCAATTTTTGAGCCAAAAAAACCTGAAAAACAGAAAAAGGAGATAATTTTATCTCGCGAAAGTATATATGAGTAAATCTCATGGAATTTTAATATTTTGCCATTATAAAAAAAAATTTTTTTTTTAAAGCACAAAAAAGTACTTTTACTTACAAAAAAGTACTTTCAGGATTGTCTGGTGATTTGGATAAAAAAGCTCGATGAGCCTATCGGGAATCAGAATTATAAAAATTAATTCAACTGAAAGTTGTTCTCAAGAAAAAGGAAAGTTGAAAATTTAACATAAACAATACCCATGAATAGTAATTTTTAAGTTTTCACACCAATATTGGGAAGTTGACAAAAATATTAAAATATCACGAGATTTACTCATATACACTAGTACATATAGGTACGCATAGATACTCGTATACATAAAAAAATGCGAATCCACAAATCCCTGATAAAATAAGATCGGCCGTATTTGGCCTCGCCACCGTGTAGAGTAGCATTGAAATGCGCTCTGTAGTTTTGCTGCGAGACTAGCCGCGCACACACATAGCATATCGTTCGTGCAGTGCACTGCAGCAGCAGCAGCAGCAGCCGGGGGAAATGGAAATAACGCCTCGGCTCACTTTCCGCCCGTAGACAGACGTTTCTTCAATTTTCGCCAATGCGATGCGGCAATATCTATACGCACACGTACGCAGGATACATAGATATAATATCAGCTGCGGCACTCACACGTACACATCGTCCGTACTATTGTACATGATATAAACAACAACGACGACGGCGAGGGAAAATACATAAATCACTCGTCGTGCGCGTCAAATCCACGCATACACACACACGATCCTTCCTTTTTACGCACGCGTAGATCGTGGCCGCTGTACTCGACAAATCGATGAATCGGCGATGTATTTATACGTACGAAAAAAATTGATACCTACCCTCTGGTCGCGTTTTATATGCTCTAAAGCTGCTGCTGCTGCTGCCACGGCAAATGATCGAGCGCGCCTATACCATACGAGCAGTCACGTATCCCGAAACGCACAACGTGCGAAGATCAATGAATACATATATATACAGCTATAATATGTAGCGCGACGAGATGATACCTATACGAGTCTCGCGCCTTTCATCATCCCTCTGGGAGGGAAAGAAGAGCGAGAGACGAGACACACGTGTGTAGGAGCAGCTGCAGGCGTGCGTGTATATACGTGCGCGCGACACAACGACGACGACGACAACGACGATTCACGACGAGGACGATGACGACGACGACGACGTCGGGCGCCCGCGAGGTAAACGTACATATTGCATGACAGCCAACACTCATATAGCTGTCGACGCCCGTACATATGTACGTAATGCCGTTCGTTCGTGTGCCCTCCACTGACATTGCCAATTTCGCCTAGCCTTTCCCACTTTCCTCTCTCTTTCTGCTGCTGCTGCTGCTGTATGTATGTACGGTACGCAGTACCAGAGTGCAACGTGCTATAGAAGAAGGAAGAGAAAGAAAGAAAAAGGAAAAAGAAGTAATTCGCAAGGAGAAATTCTCCGGTATAAATTTCACTTGACGCGGTGGCGCCTATGCTACTACCCATTCAGCTTCCTCCTCGCCCGCGCATGCCACAGCTTCTATATATATTGGAGCCGCTCACGTACTCGACCATTACGTATGTGTTGTACGTATGCTACGCGCGTGCTTTCGCGCGAGCTGGCCGCCGCCACCTGTAATACATGTATATAATATGCGTATTCGACGTGGAAATGATAAAACGCGCATTTTGCGCGCTTTTCGGAGGATAGTCAGAGGGACGTAAATTATTGAAGTTTTACTCGCTTTTATTTACGTAATATAAATTCAAATCGATCGCGGTAAGTCGCTCGTGAAAATATAATCAAAGCTGCGCGCGCGACTCCGTAAAACAACGTTTAGCGCGCCCGCGTACCCCCGCACGCATTAAATTCAATATAATAATATTACGCGTCGCATGAAAACAATTGCTCGCGTATCATATACATTATATGGTCTTTCGGAGTTTGTCGGACCCCTGCCCGCGCGACGTCGTAAAAATCGTCATAACACGCGTATACATGCACACACACACACACACGCGCAAAGCGATGAATTTTAAAAGAAAAAATAATAATAAAAAAATAAAAAAAAGTAAGCGAAGAAGCACGAGGAATGTACTTAACAACGAGCCCGGGAGAGAATATATAACTGCTCGCCGTACGTGTTTGTATGCCGTTCCCGCGCTACTACAGGCAGGCTACAATATAATTAACGTCTATGTGTGTATGTGTATGTGCGAGGGCTGCAAGCTCGCGAGCTTTCAATCCTCGGCTCGTTTGCACGCGCGCGCGCGCAAGTCTAGTTGTGTGCCTCGGTCGCTGCTGCTGCTGCTGCTGCTGCAGTTGCGTTTATGACTTTACTCGCGCGACCGTTTACTGCCACTTCCAAACATTATCTTTCTGTTTTATCGAGGCTCGAATGAATTCACGAGCTTTACTGTGCGCGCCGGCCTGTATATACATACTGTAATACTACGAATTTTAACGCTCGGTGCCGAGCGATGAGGCGGCTCTCGACTATACTCTCGCTCCAAGTGTAAGTTGCCCCATTATATATACAGCCGCGTATTGCAGTACCAGTAGTGTGTGTGTGTGCGCCGAGAGGAGGTAAATTAAATTTTAAACGATGAATCTTGAAGCGGCCATCTCCTCGGGGGAGTTACGCCTTTTTTCGGACGGTATATAAACAACAGCTCATGGAGTGTGTGCGAGAGAGAGAGAAATTCGCACGAGTTTGGGTTGTAGGAAAATTTATTGGAACGAGTGTTTGACAATACCATAAAAATGATGATGCATTATGTAAGTATTATTATACGACAGAAATTATATAAAACAAGCTGTATTATTTAAGATTGGATGAAAAAAATAAATAAATATGAAGCAGAAACTGATATAACGTAGCCTATTTATAATCGCACTTTCGAGACTTTCTTTCAATGATATCATGATTGCTGTCAATTGAATTTAAAAAAAAACTCCTGACCATTAATAAGCTATGGATATAATTACATCGATTACAATTATATACGAAAAAAATATATCACATTGATTTTTATTTTTTAAATATAAGTGACCAAAAACGGAATTTATAAAAAATGGTAAGACTGATCTCTTTTTCAAGGTGTTTTAAATTAATTACCGAGAATACCGCAATTCTATCACGAGCGGAAGATATCTTAGCTCTCGTTTACGTGACATTTTTTATTCGTTCTCTACGCATATATTACATAATTATAATAATAACAGACCAAAAGGTTGCCCATCGTTAATACCGGTACTGTTACGAGGAGATTGAATTTCTCAGTTGTATAACATTACACATAGTGGTAAAGAGCAGAGCTTTGTAAATACAATAAAACAAAAAAAAATTGATATTAATATACAACGTCGTGTACAACAACTTACATTGAATGGATATTTTAGTTTTACGAATATTTTAACGCATGAATATATTGAATTAAGATTATAAAAAGGTAACCCGCGACGAAGGTTTTTTCAATGGAGTACAATAAAAATAAATTTACGCACGTTGCCTTCGTTATTCCTCAAAAAACTTGTACATGCGATTATTTGAGAATTCGATATTAATGAAATTTTATTGCTATCGTATTTTATTGGAATTAAGTTTAACGTATACTCATAGTTCTTTATCCTAGTTGAAAAATCAGATATTTTAACGAGCGCGCGCGTTTCACGTAAAACATAATTTTTCGTTGACTGTGAATATATATTTAATAAAATAGGTACGTGTATGAATATCGAAGCTAATTATAATTGGTAGCGAAACGCGAGATTCTATTGTGAAATTTATTTAATTTTTAAAATTTCACGGTACAGCTATATTCACTCGTCAGCTGGAACAATGGATCCCTATCTCCTATCTTATGATAATTTTTTTCACCGACGCACAAACTATATATATTTTTTAATTAAAAATGAACAACGTACATCCGAGCGAAGTATTCATAAATTAAAATTTTCAACGGGAAATTTTTGCATTCGGATGAACGAATTGATGCGCGTAAAGAATCCATGAATTTAAAATTGTGTCGGAGATATACTTGAAATAACTTCGATACGATTTTATTTGTAAACTTACAAGAGACCCCCAAACGAGTTAGCAACTTTATACACAAAAGCTATGTTATACGGTACGTATTACGTGACAGTTGCATCTCGCGACTACGCGTTGGAAAATGAAATTATAAACATACGAATGTACGGATAACACGCACGCGAACGCGATGTGGCAGCGAGAGAGATCATAATTTGCGGCTTCGGTCTCTTTGTCCGCTAATGGTCGCACGGTGGCGAAAATAGGTTGTGCATTATGATAGAGCGAGAGACCCGCGATACGTTATAGATTATATTATAATTATTACGGTATAGCAAAGTTCATCCGTGTAGCTGCATTAATTTGCACGTGACATTGTGTGTGAGTATGTGTGTGTGTGCGCGCGAGTCGCTGTGTGAGAATCCGCGGGGGCGGTTCCGACCCCTCCGTACGGTTCTCTCTACGCGCTCGATTAGAGATTTAAATGCTGTGTATACGTCGAATTATTGTTTGTGTATCATCGTGGCGACTGTTACGAGTTGTTTCGAATTATTAAAAGTTATAAGGGTTAGTACTTAGTACATCTTATTGTTGCGCTTCTATCCCGGCTTAATCGAGAACTATCAATTGTACTACTGTATAAATGTTCGTGTCGATGTTCGA